CTGGACTGGACAATGTGTCTGTAGTGGAATAACACACAATACAGTACAGTCCAATCCATGTCCACAGTAGGTACTGTACGTAGAGTACTGTAGAAAGATAGATCAGTTTTTTCGCCAATCAATTATTATATTATTTATTATCTGACGATTTACTTGCCAAAATTAATATTAATATTCTGGGTAGCCAGGGAAATTGGGGGGCAGGTAAGATTCCACGGCATAGAGGAGCATTTCTACTGCAGTAGACTATTAGGCAGGGGAACAGCAATTGGACCATCTTATTCCCGCTGCTACTTCCGTCAAGGATTTGGAAAGCAAGGTAAGTCAATGGAATATTTTGGCATATTTTTCGCCCTAGACTCCTTTACCCCAATTGTCTACCAACGACAACCTTGACCAAGAGTTTATTCGTCAACTTGAGGCCAAGCCTTTCCCCTTACTAAATCCTATTGCAATCGACCGTCGTGGTTTGAAGCAACGATAGGATACTTCCATTTCACCCAATGATGATCATTATTTGCATGCCACTACTTATCCTCGACTTAGTCTTATTATTATTGCTCCGCCGAACTTGGAATCCAAAATAAAGTTGGCATGGAGATAGTTCGCCCGAACTGTGATTCATACAGTACAATAGCGACTGTATTCGTCGAGTAGATAGTGTACTATAATAGCAAAAGAAAAAAAAAAACAGGTCAAAAGTCCAAATAGGGCTTACTCAGAATACACTACAGTGCTGATAGAAACTATATTGCCTACTTCCCTATTGATGTTTAGTAGACGAGTACAGTACTATCATCGATCATCGTCATTTCTTTCCCATTAACTAAACATTCATAACGTCACTCATTTAATAACATCATCGTCGCAACAGTCATTTGTATCAACACCATTTCCATTAGATAGACTTGAAACATCCTTCATAATCACTATTTCCTAGTAAGACGCTGCCCCATGTTCCTAAAGTCGATACAGTATGACATCATTGGAAGGTGATACTGCCATTTAGGTTAATTGATCAAGCCGTCGTTGTTGATGGTCGATGACGACCCAACAAAATACTACAATATACTTCCAAATGGATCAAGCCCGACTACCAAGTTGACTTCAAGTCATTCAATGGGTACCCAGGAAAGAATGGAATATGTTTGCAATCCTTACTGCTGAGACAAATTCCAATTGAATCCAGTATACTGTACTTCAAATCCCAAGACGTTGTCCAACATCAATCCTAATCTGCATACCGTACTCTGTATACTACAGTACATGCGATGCATGAAATGGCACAGATCAAAACATCCACCCATTCTCACTTATACAGTAATTGTAACAAACAGTAACCAACGCAGTATTGTATTACCATTTTTCACTTAGTAGAGATGGCGTGCAAAAAAAATTGCAAGTAAAGTTGACATATTTACGCTTATTACAGGACGCGATCCATCTCAGCAGCTGTAAAATCAGTCTCCCTGTCTGCCATACGTACAGTATGAAGCAGTTCGCATTTCCTCCAGTGAGAGCAAGTGCAAAAATAATGTTCATCACGTTGACTAATTTTCCTTTACGGACATTCCCATTGGATAGGGTAGTAATCGCGTTCACGAATACTTCGGCACTAGTTGGCCATCCCATGGTCAATAGAAAATACCCTTCCAGGAGATTAATTATGCTATCCATGGCGTAAAAGTCGACAGCCCTTAATGACTGACTTCCTCGCTTTCCTTTACCATCAACCGATTCAATGACTCTATTAGACAAGTACTCTACATGTTTATCCATTTGATTGCATGCTACCAAGTAACTGTAGTTTCTCCTTCCGCTAATCATCAAGTTTATTGCATGAAGCGCATTGGCTGGTTAAAAATAGTTCTTTTAATAACACTGTAGAAGCCATCCGATATCAAAGTTTTGGTGGTTAAAAATTTTTTTTTCATTACAAAACTTGGATAAACTCGTACAGTATAGAGCCAGGATATCAATGAGTTGCTCCAAATGTTCACTTTCTCCGATCGTTTTAAATTACTTTTAATCACAAAGTTTGGTCAATAAGAAAACAATAACATAATCGACTGGAGATTGTTGCTTTCTACGGTAAATGGCGTGTGATGTTCCAAAATTGAAATGGATCGCTCGTGTCCAAATGCTTTAATTACATATTCGTAACATAAAACAGATAAACTAGTCAGTTGGATATCGAGTGATACACTTATGATGCTACTGTATTTATTGGCAGTCAATGGCGATTGCAGTTTCCCTATTCTGTGTCATGCTTCTGCATGGAAAGAAAATTCCAATCCTAGGATAGGAAAACTCTTGTAGTAAAGTCATACCGGATTGGAAAGTAATCAGTCATACGAGTATTAAGAAATGATTGCGGTAGCAATTTTATAATTATTTCCCTGTGCATATAAACTCACATGATAGTCAATGCATGATCTACCTGTATCCTACTAATAGCTTGCATTGGAGTATATTTAGCTATTTATGAATATACCATTTCCTCCGATGAAATCCAAAGTGTTATTTGTTTATTGGCACTGATATTAGTAACGCTGAATTGTGGAAATTTTCATTCAAACTAAAACTTAATAATCGATCGACAGTGTCGTTCTTGATCGTTCGTCATGCTTGAGTCTATTACGACACACAAATCTTGCTCAACATTTGCAGACTGAACTCCAATATTGGATTCATAGCATTATCTTTCTTTAAAGCCGATTTAATCATGATTGTCTCACCGACTGAATGTTATTACTTTTGTACAACAGCTAATTGTTCTGATCATTAATCTAGCGATTGTAATGTGTACGGCACACACGCACATTAATATCAGTTAATATCACCCATTGATTGGTTATACCCTGGCCAGAAAATACCTATAGAAGGCTAATTATGAGTGATTGATTTTAGTTTATCGAAATTACTAGAAAGGTCAATCAAAATCGTCTTTTCGACAATGTACAGTACCACATTGTAGTGTACAAGTAGTTACCGCTACCTCGACTTTTTCTTCTCATCGACATTCTGTTACCTTGTCAATTCATTCATTTTGTCTATGCTCCATCCAAACTGGCCGATTTCTCCATCAATCGACTTTAAACAGTATTGATTTTCAATGAATTCGGCATGTGTTCAAACAATAAATACCATGCAATCGGCCAGTTTAGATTCCCACAGAGAAACTTCTCCCCATGACTTTTTTTCTTATCTTCTCTTCCATTCTCTATTTCAACAATACAATCTATAGTGTTGATTGAGAGTAACCGACATAAAAGAAGTCGATGTCTATCAATTGTCTTTGCGACATCATCATTTAAATAACTATTTTAATTCTTATTTTTAGTTTAAACGATTGTCAAACTGTTATTGTATAATACACTATAATATCTTCTACCCCCCCTAATTTTCCATACATCTATACAAACTAATGCTTATTCTTCATCCTTAGTATCACATAAAAGAGTTTTGATATTGATATTATTTGCCTGTTATGCCTTTGTTTCAAAGAATGTATTTATTCTTGTAGAACATTCTCAGCACGTGCTGTGACTTAATTGTTCCAACACTAATTGAAGTGCTCTACCGATTTGTGCCATAACTCTTGACTGTAAACTAGACTACCAAGCATCCACCATTCCGCAATAGAAAGATTAAGTAATCATCTATCTTTCAAAAGTAATTTTCCCCCTTGAATAAAGTAGAATCATCATCATTTATGTTGACAGTATACCTCCTCAGCTAGTTAGTATATCTCTATAAACAGTAGAATCTATTTCAAGTTAGGAATTGATTCATGGTGGCCAAGATAATAAAGTAAGGATAGATTTTGACTAGAAATTCAATCTCTACCCTTCAGTTAAACCAGTAACTGACCAACTACTACTTTTGAACAAGTTCACAATACTAGCCATGCAATCTAATTTCCAATATTGAATTATGCTACGTATACCATACTCTACTGTACGCTACTGTATTACCTTGGTTAGGTAAATACGTAAATAGTCTGTAAAGTGAGAGCCGATGGCCACTGAGGTAGCGAATATCTCACCTACGGTAGACGATACAACTCAATTTGTACATTTTACAGGCTAGAGAATACAAATCAAATCAAGCAGGGACAAATTGACTGTCCAAACAGTACCTATTTCTATCAAACGATTGTTGAGATGAGAAAATGGGTTGAGCAAGTGTTGCAGGCTGCACAACACTTGCTGCCAAGACATGTACTCGTATAAGCCACAGATACAATCACGGCAGGTAAAAAGGATCACTTCCAGAGATGAAATGATTGTGCAATTGAAAGTGATAATTATTCGAAATACTTTCAATACCACGTTAATCTTTTAATGCCCAAAAAAGAAATTTTGATCATTTATTTTAAAGTTTGCCACTGTGAATGATATGCCAATACAATGGGTAGGATTGAACGATCCTTTCCCCCTTAAGTGCACCATATAGGGTAGTTAGCATTTTATAGTACAGTAGAAACAAAAAGAGGATCTGTTTTTGTTACATGGGAACGATATTGGTACGACCAGTATCACTGTTTGTTTAACACAGACCTTGATACAGCAAGCGCCATAATCTGATTGATGCTGGCATGGATGGTATCTCTTCTGTTTTTATCTATTAGCTCTCTCAAAATATCTATATTTAGTAATAGGGGTTCCATTGGGTTGCAATTTCGTATGCTGCTGTAGGGCATACGGTGATGATAATCTTGACACTACTTGGTTTAGAGTGAATTGCAATCGACTCGACTCCTTGGTGTAAGCTGATAGGGGATAGGATAGGCTGTTCTGGTATTAATTTGCATTGTGTTTATCTCGGTGATGGCGTTATTAATTCAATAGCATCTCTACTTAAATGATGACATTACATTTTGAAAGGTATTTGCCTACTGAAATACATTTACATTTATCCAAGTTATCAAATTCATCATTTATAAGTCAATTGATACAATTATCATAGTTCGCTACTTGACAAGAATAATTCTAGTCATGGATATCAGGTATTCTCCTTTGCTTGATTGGTGAGCAAATTACTACAACATTTTTTCACTTCATGTCATTGATGACAGTAAAACGCTCATGTTTGAATAATGTTAATTTAATATCCAATGACCTTTTCTGAACTGAAAATTGTCTTACCACTCGTGGTCCATTTCAGAGCAAATGGTAGACTCGGAATAAGTCAAGATAATTCGAAAAGTAGCGAGGAAAAAGATATGGACAGTATACTAGCCTATGATGTAAGCATTCTAAACGCTTTCAAGCGACACTATCTTTGGCTAATTTGATGATTCAATTCAATTCAACTTTTCTTAATAATTACTCATAAAGATGCTTCAATAGCTGTATAATGTATCAAATCGAAGTCAATAAGTGAAATGGATTTGGCTATTTCTTTTTTATGTAGCCAACTTCACATCCTGATGATAAACCACCTGATTATGTCAGTTCACGACCTCGCAGAGTAAGGAATCACTGTATAATTTTATATATTGTGAAATAATTGAATTCAATTTGAGATTTCTTTCCTTCGATAATTATATTTTGCATTCTATCGTGATAAAAATTGATTAGTTATCACCAGATGAAGCAAAATTGGATGAATTAAGCAACTATGCTAAGGTTTTTATTTACCATATTACGTAGCGATGGTATCATTATTGTAGTCTTAATTCGGTAAAATGTCGATTCAACAACCAATTTTCCTTCTAATTCTCATTAATCTCGTTATCATCATGCCTATAAATTAAGCATGTACTAGGTAACATCTCCAATATTAAGCCATACTTGAGAAATGGCAACTTCCATGAGGTCATTGGTATTTTGGGAGGTACAACGTTACGCGAATTCAATAAATGTAGAGAGGGCAAAACTATTCCTCCGTACATACGAAGTTCAGATCCTCGATCGCATAATGTGCATCATAAAGTGGACGAAGTTAATAATCAAGGCAGCAATGATAATAAATCACTACAAGAAGCGCATAGTGATGATAGTGATAAACGTACATCGAAGAAATCATCACTGTCTAGTAATACTGGTCTAGAACGTAACAAGTCAATAAAGAAGGAACGTCATTACGATGGGAATCAAGAAATAGAAAGCACCAGCGATCAAGCATTATCGTCTAGTTATCATCGTGGAGTACCAAGTGATCGGAAAGTCAAAACAGAAATTAGCAACGGACCTGATTCTTGTCTCCCTTCGGCATTATCGTCTAGTTATCATCGTGGAGTACCAAGTGATCGGAAAGTCAAAACAGAAATTAGCAACGGACCTGATTCTTTTCTCCCTTCGGTATCAAATGAGACGATTGCCAAGACTACAACCTTAAGTAAACGAAACCAGGGGCAGCCAAGCGCTAATAATGATTTCTGTGTAGCTGACGATACGAAAACTAGTCAAAATAAAGAAGACACTAAAACCAAAGATGAAGATGAGCTACTGCAAGCAAGCGAAAATAATAACAAGATAAAACGTCAAAAAGCAGATAACGATACAAAAGCAACTACTGTCCGGCCTAAAGAACTAAAAATTGATATAATTCAAAAGTTAGCTAATTTTTATAATAATCGTAATACGCGTATAGTAGAAATTCTCTTACATTGAACTTTCTTCTTTTGACAATATTCAATCGCAGTGGAATCGCAAAAGGCATGATTCAATCAACTAGCGACGAAAAAGTAGTAAGCTTATTTTAATAGATTAATTCACTTCTTTAGCCATAGCTGTACAGCGACTTATGCAAGGAAGATAGTAAAATATTTTTTTTATTTTTTAGTCAATGATAGCCAAAGTAAAACAAATATGTGAGGTTAGGTTTAAAATCATTCTCTTATGCTATTCAAGTATTTTAATTGAAGCATACGAATTTAAAATTTTTCAACCTGTAAATGTTGTAATTTAGGAAATGGTAGGGCTTCCTCCTCCCATCAGTGCTATCAGGACGCCATCAAGCAGTTCATCTGCATTTCCTGCTTTTCAGCAAAAGGTGAAAAACGAGATCAAATTGAATTCATTTGTTAGGCGTGTTATAATTTTTGGATAACGTTAATATTGTCTTGATTCCTTCCTTTGTTGATCAACTTAAATTTATTTCATAACTATTGCATTCTAAGGATGAAGCGACCAGTAATCGTAAAGGTACAATTTATAATTTGTAATGAACTATACATGTAAAGGCGAATACTTCTAAAATAAATTATCTTTAAAATACCATTTATCAATTATAGATATCAAGAAAGAGTCTGAAGAAAATAACTTTACGTTAGTTTTCAAAAATGATTTTATCTGTATTTTGTTCATTGTAACCAGAATGAATAATTTTACCTCCTGTATCATGTAATTAAAATTTTTTCATTAACGTTTGTAACATATTCATGCTACCTATTGGGTTAGTGATGATCAAAATTGCCTGGAACAAGACTTAGAGCTGACAGATGACAGTGATAGTGATAACCAAAGCGACGCAGTGGAAGATTTAACTAGAAATGGTAACAATGCGATTTCAGGAAAATTATTTCCTATCATCGACCCTACTCCTCTCTCTGAATCATCAAGTGAAAGTGATAATGATTCTGACATAGGTGCCGTAAAGCAAGTAAAAGTATGTTATCGTTGTCATTTTATTTGATTTATTATCGTAAACGAAATTTTTTATGCTATTGATTGTACTGAAATTGTAATATTATTTTTCAATTTTAGAAGAGAAAGACGCCATCCAGTGACAATAGAAAACATTCTCCTCGGCAAAAGAAGAGTAAGATATATACTATATACTGTATAGATAGTTTTATGAACAACATATCAAGCTGTACTTACCGAAAGTTACGACGTATTAGTATGTTCAGTAAATACAGTCATTATATTACGAAATCTAATCTTAACTCCATAATTAATAATACCGTACATTGATCTCTGTATCCAAGCACCCCAAAGTTATCATTCTGCAGCGCAATCCAACAGAATTGCAAATAATATTATACGCGAGGTACTGCAATATCAGATTCCTGTTTTAAGTCCTTTACGAAATATTCACTATGAAAAATGCCGCAATGATGATGATTTTGGACGAAGGAGTTATGACTCTGCTATGAAATCTACTCATTGTGATGATTGCTCCACATCTCATGGAAAATGTTTAAGTGATTTGTCGGTAGATGACAAGAAATTTCTCGTAAGCAGTCGCTCCAACAACGATATCAATCCCGATAAACGTAAAGAAGGGCAGCTAAACCCGTCGTCCAATCTGTTACGTTTATCAGCAGCTCGAGTAGCATTAGGAGATATTAACGATTTGATTCGTTTGACAAGTCTTAGCCCAATACGTCAAAGCGGCCATAACGTTACTATTGGCCAGTCCAATCGAAATAACTTGCATTTACGTTCAAAACGTAGTCGTCATAACTTCCGTGATACCTCTAAGCTTGAATGGCCATACCGTCGTAAAAATATGCATTTGACAACTGCTAATCCTGAGCTAATTGGTAAAATATATGCTAGTGACAATACTCGACACTTTGACTGCCGGAAGGGATTACTTAAGAAAAGAAATGTATTATCGCCAGTCAAAAAGGCATACTCTCCAGCTAAGCGTAAAAGGGTATTACAAGAAGTATACGACTTTTTACGTATAATCGATTGTAGCTCACTTCGTAGTTATGAGCGAAACCGAAACAGTCTTAATATTTCTAATGGTGGTGAGCAACGTCATTTACGGACTATTTCCAAAAATATCGAAGCCGACATTGTTGTTGGAAACAGTGATATTGCGCACGCTAACACCAATTCTAAAAGTAATCAATGTCATGACATACAAATGATGGCTAATGTGGCACTAGTTTCTAGACACCAAATTCTACAAGAAATGCGCAATTTCCTACGGATCATTGAGCTTAGTCCGTTACGTTTCGGTAAGGCTTTCAAGCCAGCTAAAAAGCCTGCAGTTTTTGTGTTAGCTACTGACAAAGAAACCCCTAAGATTCGATCTACATCAGTCAGAAGGAAACTTTTTGATCACTCTGATACGCAAAATTTGGCTAATTGTATTGATAACATAGTTGTTTCTTCAGCAACCAGCTCTGCTCAAGAGAGACTGCCTACAAATCTATTTTACAGAGATCAATGGAATCGCTCTCTTCATGACAGTGATAGTCAATGTGATTCCACGTCCAGTAATCCAAAAACTGATTTACAACACCAACATGTAACGAATGAGAATAAGAATAGTTCAACATTACGAGAAATTTCGGTGTCTAATGTTACCGTTGACTATAATACGGATTGCGTTGATATATCATCATCATCCTGTTCTAGCCAAACTTCGACTTTAATCCGGCAGTCGATCGCATTACATGATGACAATGTCACTTGTAGTTGTAATGGAACGCAAGATGTTCAATGTTTAAGTAACACATCATCTGTTTTGCGTTTAGCTAAAATCGACAATACTTCTGAAAAAGAAGAGAATAAAGCTGCGGCTGATCAACATAACGAATTATTCGAAGATGTTGATAACAGCGATCAACAACAACAACAGCGTTCCCCGATACAAAATGATGCAGTCGTTTCGTCAACGTTGCCTCCAACTGCAGATAAAAGCTACCCCGTAAGCTTTGACCTATCGCGTCTGAAGAGCATCAAATTGTCAACTTCAAAAGCTGTAAGTACTGCTATATAATGGCTACAATGAAAGAACTACATTAATAATTAATAAGTTCCGATATACGTATAGCTTCAACAAAACCATAATCATGACACATAAATATAATTAAATTCGAAAATTTCAACTCTCTGATTGGATTATAAATACTGATTCACTTAATATTCTAAAAAATCAGAAAAAGCATCAGGATGAACAAGCACAAGGTATACACCATAAATTGTCATACTATAAATATAGGTTTTGTTTTCTCATGATCTGATCATTAAGTTACGAAGTTTGCATCAATATTGTATCTTTGTGCCCATTTAATAATATAGGTTTTAAGGACAAAAAAATTAACGTGGATAAGCAGCTCACGTCAACGTCAGGATCCAAAGATGGGTCACTATCAAGTGGCATATCTAAATCCAAACGAATTAATAACCACAATAACGAAGGTCATCCATTAAAGAAGAAAATACGAAATAAAATGGCCGAAAGTAGCGATGAGGCCAACGTCACGGCTGTATCGTCGCGGAAAGGAATTAGTCCTGAAAGAAATGAAATGAAACGTAATAAAAAATCTGATGATTTTAAGGTAGTATCTCATGGGAAAGTATCAGAAAAAGAGAGATTAAAAAAAGCTTCAAGAAGTATCATTGGATCGGAAGATGATTCCGCGTTGTTGCGTCATAAAAAAGACAAGAAGCGAAAAAAGGAAATAAGGCGTGTTAAAACGTCAGATGATGACTCGTCATCTCATCATAGAACTCCTCCGCCGTTTAAGAATGACAATGATCAAAGTGAGGTGCAAGATCGAGGTAAAAATTGTGATTACAAAGCATCTCAGTCCAAACATTTGGATAGTGATAATACTCAACGTCGTAAGAAATCAGTAGCCAAGGAAAGTAATAAAGACTACCGATCCGATATGGCAGCAACTACGTTCAACAAGCAGACATTAAAGAAAAATACGGAGGAAGTATCAACTATTGAAGATTTACGTATAAAGTGAGATACATAATTCTTTATAATTGCATTATTTTCATGGATATATTTAATATTCAGAGAATTAATTCACTGTGTAGATCTGAAAATTTACGTAAACAAGCAACTGAACACAAGCGTAGTGGTGATGCTAACGTAAGTATTTTTTTATAAAGATCACTACATTAAATTTAACGTATTTTTAATATTCATTTATGTTTATTAACGTTATCCTAAGCTACCTACCTACCTACCTTAAGAGTATTTATAGTCCGTCAAGGCTGATGATTCATGTAACTAATATATTGTATGTGCTTCCTTTAGCCAAATATTGAAGTGAAGGCAATTAAGTACACTGAAGCTGCAATGTTATTTATTGAACAAGCCCTTATAGAAGAGGTTAAATGGCGTGGTAGCAGTTACTATGCAATATGTCACTAATTTGTTTACTTAAGTAGCTTAAAAATAATATATATAACTAACATTTCTATCCTTGATTTATAATATTAATAATCCTTCACAGAAATTAGATAAGGAAAAACATGAAAGTAGAAAAAAGGAACCATATTACGAAATATTAAACACTACTGCTACTTTCTTAAAGTAAATAATGTTTAACTTAACTTTAGGCAACATAATTTGCTGTTTGCCTACCATTGTGTACTGCAATTGCTATCTTAACACTGTCTATTTATGCAACTTTAATAGACAAATATGTAGAATACTACGTGATCTGGGATCTAAAGATGGATGGAAGGGAAATATCAAATTAAAGAAGTTCTTATTCTTTTGGTATTAGAAATTGATAGCATTAGCATTAATAGTAAAAACATCATGTGTCGATGATAGTACTCGAAATATTAAAAATACTATAGTTAATCAAATAACGAATAGAATAATATCAAATGAAGAAGGTATTAAAAGATTTACACCTATTTTATCATTATATCCAAAATTAGTGATAGAAGCCGAGCATTATTAGTTCATAAAATATTTTTACGCTCTCGTAATGAAATACGAACTTTACTGCAAGTGAGTGCAATTTCGAAGACATTTATTAAATATTTCCTTAATAACACTAATGAAATAAATTAAGGCAAATTTAAAATTCTAACTATCGACATTTTTTTGCTGTTTACAGAATGTTAACGAATATTGTGCGGTTAGTACCTTAAGTTCGTAGTAATTATAGTAACATATTGCAATTCTATGGTACGTTGCTATTTATAATTTTATTTTCTATTAAATTTATGACACTATAGAAAGATAAGCAACAAATGGGATCAATTTCCAAAAAGTAAGTATCGCACTTGTAATTGTAAACTATTCTTTGTTTAATCAACATTTCTTTTCAATATGTTAGGTTATTTCCATTTAGATATTATTACATTTTTACATTTAGTAGCAGAACCTCAGATCTGTCTGTTTCTCCAACATTTACACCTGGAAGCCAATCTTCTACTTCAAGTAGTAGTACGCAAAATGATAATTTTATAAGCATCCCCAATAAAATTATGTCTATGCAGTTAAGATTGAATCACCTATGGAATCAAGAAACCTATGCTATGGATTTATGGGAGAACGGAAATTTGATTATGAAAGAATTTGAAGGTAAAATAAATCATTCAATACATTTAGGACTGTAATCTGCCAAGAATAATTTTACAGTAAGGAGAATGAGATCATAATCTGAAATATGCCTCAATAGAAGCTGTTTATAATCTTGAAATTTTTCATACAGGAATCATGTATCCATACCATATTTTAATTTTTGTTTATAGATTTCTTCACTCAACTACATCAACGTAATATTTTACACTACGATAGGTACAGTTAAAGTTTTATTATGAATAGGGAATGCTTTGACAACAAGCTTTAAATTTCTCAATGTTTTCTCTTAAATTATTTTTAGTACTTTGGCCGACCTATTGAATTACGTTCGTCGAGGAATGAAATTGATATCGAAGAATTAAGTGCATACAGTATACGTATGGACTATTGCTGTACAAATTTATATAAAATATTGAATTTATTTGAAATTAATCTGAATTATGCATATTCTTTTATTATTCGTAAATGGAGACCTGCAGCAAATCGAACTATATACGCTGTTATGTAGCTGCGATATGATTGTTTTATAATAATAGATATTATTATTATGAAGTGATGTAACTTACTGTCAAGCAATAATCGCTGTGAAACTACTATTGATGGTTATATATGATAATGAATTATTTACCTTTGTCGAACGCTATCGATAATCTTTCAGATTGCTTGAATATTTGATTAGTGTATTTACATATACTTGATTGGTCCATGCGACGGTTTCTCCCAGCGGTCGGTGATCTTGTGTCAATTGTAATCAACGTACGGCATCGTTCACTGTAGTAGTAAATTATTGAAATATATTAATTTTAATTTGAAATATAATTTTTCTCTAAGAGATGGTACTGTTTATACAACAGCATATTATTCTACGTAAATGAAGAAAAGATTCAAATATTAGTAATAAGTACGTTATCGTGTATACATTTTGAATATGCATCATGCATCACGCAGTAACTGCTGTATCAAATTAATACCTATACGCATACATGTACCAAATAGTTGATGAAGTATCTTGAATATTGCGCTTTAATGGCGAATAATCAAAATTTAATATTTGTAAATGAGCAAAAATGAAATAAAGTTAATAGAATTCAAAATATTAGTAATTAATTGATGTTTGATAGATAGAATGAAGTAAATTTGGCCATTATGATATGTTTATAACCTGGCTAACTTTCTACGATTTAAGATTACTGATAACATATTTGATTAAAGATGCATATACCCAATACTTCTTAGAACTCGAAATTGACCAACAACAAGTGTAGGTGTAGGCGCAAACTTTGGGATAGATCGTATGTTATTATGGCAATTATAAATTACCAAAGTCGTAGAATCTTATGACATAGAATGATATAACTTCGCTAGATTAAGCATATAGGTTTTATCGCTTTTAGTTGGAATCGTTACATCGCGTAGCTAAACGTGTACTGTACTCGCATATAGTGTATAGCAGCATCCTGTTCCTAAACTGCCTACATGACAAAAATGCTGCGTACCCTAAATATGCAATTCGATAATTCTCTTTTATTAGACAGATATAGTCATATTCATAAACCGGACTTAAAATTTGTTCATCCAGTTACGTGCTTATTCATTTTGCTAGACTATCGGTTATTAAGTAAATATGTTTAAGTAGACATCTAAAAATCACAAATTGGAGAACTTACAGGTAATACTATCTGGTTTAAATTACTAAACGTTATTATAATAATCGGATGACATAAGGAAAGGTCATCACAAATGGCATTATAAGCAGAAGTGTTGAGACGGTGAGTTGTAACCTCATTATTAAATTGTGAACTATAAGTAATCTTATCTGACAGAAATAACTTGAACTCAATAGCTACATGTTTCATAGTAATTAAAGTTTTGGAATGTTAAATGCAATGCAATTACCGACTATGTAAATAATGTTATTATCATAACCAAGATGCTTTTCTACTCTCTATTGGTAATATATAAATATTTTGAAGGAACGATGATAATCAGATTAGTAAATATATTAATTATTCATTTCTAGCCCTTTTTCTTATCTCAAATGTTTGATTAAACCTTAAAATATTATAGTATTTCAAAATTTGTGCGATAACTACACTATGGGAAGTATCAATCTCTATCTTGTACTTTATGTTACTTTTATGTTAGGCAATATATAATTTAAAGCTGTAGTCAAAGGCCATTTGCAAAAATTAATAGTCTGCATAAGACTTTAATTTGTGCCTTGAATGAAATATTACTTTATTATGTAATCTAATAGCAAGCGTATATTGTTCGACGAAATAATGAAATCTTATACAGCGGTGATAAATTTTGGGGGCAAACGAATTTATAAAATCTGATCTGATATATTACTGGTGCTTAGTACACGGTATAAAGTTACTGAACCTCTGACAGGTCTACAGTACGACAAATGGTAATACTATCTGTTAAATGAGCACATTATCGTAAACCGTCAGCAAAGCGACGGGAGTTTGCACTAGTATTTCTTAAAGAAGCTCGTATATGATCTAAAACATAAAGGATGCTATAATCATAAATAATGGAGACCAAAAAAAGTGTTGCTGTTCCTTCACTAATAGTAATCAAAGGTGATAGACTGTATTGTTGTAATGCGTAACTTATCAACTATAAAGGCTGTAAGAATATGTCAAAGATCCTTGCTAATATCATTAATAAAGCTGACATTAACCTTTATTTAGACAGTAGAATATTACATGATCATTTTTATGAGATTGCTAAATGTGATAGACTGTAATCAAGTAACATAGTTGCCAACTCTATCACATCATCTTCAGGTCTTCAACACCTACAAACTAAGCCATATTTGATTATATATTTTTTCAATACTAGTAAAGCATCCTTTTCTCCAGTTAGTGTCATTCGATATTTGGCTTTGATCCTAGCTTAATCCATGCTAATCAAGAAATCGATCATGGTGATTTTTATAAATTAGATTTCTTTAAAAAAACTGAAACTTGACACTAACAATTTTTAGTGTATAAGATCGTTTTCAATGATGCTTTGGCCAAATTTATCAATGACAACAACATCAAACTAGACTATTCTGAAAGAAGTTTTTATAGCAATATTGACCAGTAAATGTGGATATTCACAGGTCAATTAATCAAAAAGGTTTATATCTTAGCCTATTTGTAATTGACCTACAGGAATTTGACGTTTACTAATTTGATAAAAAAGCCATTATTTGGGTGTGGTAAATTTCTATTTTGGCTAATCAATTGATGCTAACGATTCGTTTTTTAGCAAGAAGCCATTATTTCCCATGTAACACTTGTATAAGATATTGTTAAATGTTACTGAAGAAAATTCTTCAAAGGATGGAAGCTCTCTACTTGATAAGATACCATTATTAATAAAAGTATTTGTTACCAATATACTGTATCATGATTCGAACTAGCAGCGAAGAGGTATTGGCCGCATTTATACGATTCTATTCTGATTAGTATACTAGTAAACGATTGATGCCAACGGAAACTTTATTAAGCACAGTGAAATCTATGTCTTGGCTAACCAACGGATTCAAAACTGATATTTCACATAACTGATTATCTATAAATAAAACTAATCTAGTTTGTTAGAGCCATGCTCTAGCTAATTGATTACTGCAAAAGCGAAATGAATTGCTGCTCAATCTCAAAAAATGTTTATTTATTCGTGAAAGCTGCTGTCAAGTATTAGAATATCATCCGGTTAAGATAACATTAACCGATGCTCTAGGTAATGAATATTCAAATAGCATATATGATCGCTTGCCCACGAAACAATTATTAAAAGTGGATTTTTGTGATATCATTTTAGATCTGTTGTCGCTCTGTTATATTTACAATTTTTCGACGTCAAAATTGGAGTTTTAAGGATAAAATATCTCGTTGTGCGATACTGTAATTTTGGGATCAACCATCAAACCAATTTACTAAGTAGTGCCAAGTATTCTCTGCGTTCACGATTTTGCTAGCAAGTAGAAGAATACTTTCATCGTAAATAACCTGAAGACAGCGATACTTGTCCGTTAAATTAAATTCTTTCTAGAAACGGATATTTGTTAATAAAACTTGCTGTTGGATACAATTATGCTAGCCACTTAAACCACTAACATAGTAATTTATCCTGTCATGTTGAAGTTAATCACAAAGCATGCCGACTTTAAAATTATTGTCAGATGGAATTACATCAGCTTATGAACAAACTCAACAAAATGATCATTAACGTTAGCTCGGTTAGATTTTAGGTCAATCCAATTACTAAGTGTCTAACTTTCTTTGTGAGACATCAAGCATGTTGATTCTAGTAATAATATCATGCAACATTAATCCATAAAGATCAGTTATCACTGATCTACGGTACAAGGATCCGATGGAATATGGTAAGATAAATCAGTGGCGTACCAATTCTAGGATAGACAATGGGATCATTCCAAGCTGAAAAACTTGAATATTAGAATTTATAATTAACCTCGAATGACATCATTTCATCTTTGTAGTTTTATTGACATAGTGGATAGTAATCAATACTATGGCATAGATGTCATCGGAGGAGTGAATTTACAGGGCGGAAAGTGCTAGCTCCATGTGACTACACAAAGTAAACAAGAAAATGATTCATATCTAAGTTATTCCTATTGATGGGGTAACTAGCGCATTAAACTGTCCTAGTTGGGGCAACAAGTTAGTCTCAATTATGAGCAAAAGTCCTTCTTTCCTACTTTGTTGGTGATTTCTCGTGTCGACAGCTGTTACTACGTACACTCAATAGGACAGCAATAATAACATTATATAACTGTTGCCATCTAGAAAGTTCGAGTTGTCTATTCAATCGGACACAATTTGCTACAAAGTAGAGTATTTTATTCTTGATGGTGACATAATTATGGTAGTGCCTGCATTCTAATCTATTTTGTATCCTATTACAGTATGATTCCTTCTGCAGTAAACTTGTTCAAGTCCTTGATCGCTTCCCTTGATCATAATAAGAATAATAATATCCAACGAAACATGCAATAATAATAATACTGAAGGATTTTTGTAATCAATCTAGAAAGCTCGAATTGTCTATCCAATCAGATATAATTTGCTACAAAGCATTGAGATCTTGATAATAGTATGGTTATGGCAATGCCTTACTCTATTTTATCTAGAATACTCGGGTTGTCCTTTCAATCAGACACCATTAGCTACAAAGCAGAGCATGGTAATCTTGATAACATGGTTATGGCAATGCCTTTACTCTATTTTATATTCTATTACAGTATAATTTCTTCTCTGATAAACTTGTACAAGTCCTTGATCGGTTTCCTTGATCATAGATGAGAAACGGAGTGCGCTAATAGGATAATAATAATGAT